CTAGTTTCACTCTTGTGAACAGTAACGGTGCCTGTGCCAGCCCTGGGGCTCAGGCACTGTCAGCTTCCTGGGAGTCAGAGGCTGCAGGCTCACTGCTGTCCCCCTGGGCCAAGTGCTCCCTGCCACGGGGGCGGGGACTGGCGCTCTGCCTGTGACTCCGCTAAGCACCTGCGTCTCCGCTGCTGTCCGAGTCACTGTCACTGCACCACAGGCTCATCGTCCTCGTCAGAGTCGGCATCGTCCTCTAGATCGGCATTGCAGCCAGATCATCTGCTTGTCCCAGGAGGCCTGGACCCTCCTGCTTGCCACTGCCACTCTTGTCACTCGCCTCGTTCCTGTCACCCCTCTCCTGTTCACTCTCGCTGCCCGAGCATGCGTCTTCACTGCCACTGCCCTTCTCACCCTCATCTGTCAGGGAGCAGAGAGGTGCGAGTCACAGTTCCCGTCCCGCTCCTGGGGCCCCAGCGCTGGCCTGACCTGCCTGACCTGAGCCCCCAGCCTCGTTCTCTTCTGCCTCCATCTCTCGTCTTTCCCCTCCTCGGGTTCCTGGTTTTCCGCCTGGGCTTTGCATGCCTGCTGGAAGCAGCAGAACTGGAGGGGGCGGGGGAAGGCAAGTGCTGTATTAGGCTCTGTCCTTCCCCTCACCTACCATTCTCCCCTGGCCAGCAGAGCCTTGCTACCTGGGCTTCCAGCTCAGGTAGACACACCCCGTGTTTGAGGACCACAGGCAGGGCCTTGGAGCCTGACTGCACCCCAGCCTTGCAGCACTTCCCGAGGCAGACCCTGGAGTGGGCGTGAGATGGGGGCGTGGAGGAATGTTGCCCTCCTCAGTGAGGACACAAGTCAGACGAGGTTCCCTTTCCATGTGTGGCCCAGCGCAGAGCAGAATAAACACGTATTGTAGAAGGGAGACTATCTCAAGGGATTGGGGGAGCGGTGGGGGAAAATGGTCAGTTTGCTCTTGCCCCTTGCGATGTCTGTCTGTCTACATATATGCACACATACACACATATCTTCAGAAGGTAGTGGGAAACAAAAGATTAACTTGGTACAAAAAATTGAAATATGTACATAATTTTTAAAAAGATTTTATTTATTTGAAAGTCAGGGTTACACAGAGGAGAGGCACAGAGAGAGGTCTTCCATCTGGTGGTTCACTCCTCAGATGGCTGTGACGGACAGAGCTGCACCGATCTGAAGCCAGGAGCCAGGAGCTTCTTCTGGGTCTCTCACACAGGTGCAGGGGCCCAAGGACTTGGGCCATCTTCCAGTGCTTTCCCAGGCCATAGCACAGAGCTGGTCGAAAGTGGAGCAGCCGGGTCTTGAACCGGCACCCATAAGGGATGCCGGCACGTCAGGCCAGGACATTAACCCGCTGCGCAACAGTGCTGGCCCCTGTACATATTTTATAAAATGTTTCCTGTGAGCTTTCTGAATATTCTGCTTATGCATAGATTTTTTTTTTGCTCCAAAATAAACATTTTAATCCTCCCCCCAAAAAAATAACTTATGCAATTGACAGTTCATTATTTAAGCAGCTGTATGTCTGGAAAATTTTGCTTGCATTTGCACTGGTGTGCTAAAATTTGAGCCTGAAGAAATAGTAGCTTGAGTCTTACCAGGACTCCCTCCCCCTGCAGCACTTCTGGCCACCTCACTGCCCTGCCAAGTTCATTACCACCATAAGCCCAGCCTAGTGCACCGAGGTCTCCTGTACTCCCCTTTCCTGGGCAGCCAGAGCATCCTCCCTCCTCCAAGCATCTCCTTTCTATGCCTTTCTACCAGGACCAGTTCTTTGGTCATTTTCTTCATTCGAGGTGACTTTTTATGCCATTCAAAGGCTCTAGCAACCCAGAGTGAAAGAGAGGAAGGGGAGTGATATGGAAAAGCATTTGGGAGTGGCCTGTAGGACTGATTTTGGTTTTGTTAACCATTTAAACACAGACAGTGTAGTACTCCAGTATCAGGGAATGGACACTGCCCACATAGACCACTGAAGTTGTACATTTTTGGTCTTGTATAGATCCTCCCCTACACAGCACTGCTATATATGCTGATGAAGAAGAACTCTCCCAACACTGTGGGTCATCTGTCCCTTCAACTCCTCCAGGAAAAGCAACGAAAGAAAGGTAGGGTTACGTCAAGCCATTGTTGGTTCACGCTCTGAGATTTCTGGGAAGTTCTTCAAGTTAGAAGCTAATAAAACCCAAGTTTTGACATTTATTTTGAGAGTGTGAACATTAAAAACTAATTTCTCTATAATTGGCCTTACCTATAATAATTTTTGTAATTAACATAATTGACACTTGAATGACCCAGAATACCTGCCTGTAGTGGTCTCGTTTGTTTCCTTCTGCTGTAGTAATAGGAATACTTTTCCCCCTTCTAGTAATAGAATGGTTTTAGCTGGACACATGGCTGTCAGAATTCTAAACATACTGTCTCCGTGCTGTTGCAGCTGAGATGTGTGTGTGTGATTAGATTCTAGCTAAAATGGAGTCTAACTTCTGAAAGTCTCTTTGTGGGGAGGATTGTGCTCTTCTGTTTTCCATCCTTCTTCCTCCTAGTTAGAATGGGATGTGGTGGTGAAGACCGAGCAACCATGTTGGGCCGTGAGGCAGTGTACTGAGAGAGCAATGGATACAAGGCACCTGGGTCTCCTGATAACGGGACTACTACACCAGCCCTAAATTATTCTGGAGTTTGGCCAAGAAGGAAAGACAAGTGTCTTATCCGAGCCATTTTGGGAATATATTTTTTACAATGTGCAGCCATCCTAATTCTCTCTCGTAAACTTGGTAAAGAGAGTTTTATCCTTATCCTAAGAGCAGTTGGAGGGTTTTAAGTAGGGGATGACATGGTAGGATCTACATTTAAAAATTACCAGTCTGAGCCGTCGCCGTGGCTCACTAAGGTAATCCTCCACCTTGTGGCACTGGCAAACCTGATTCTAGTCCCGGTCACTTCACCGGGTTCTGTCCCAGTTGCCCCTCTTCCAGGCCAGCTCTCTGCTGTGGCCAGGGAGTGCAGTGGAGGATGGCCCAGGTGTTTGGGCCCTGCACCCCATGGGACACCAGGAAAAGCACCTGGCTCCTGGCTCCTGCCATCGGATCAGCACGGTGCACTGGCCGCAGCGCGCTGGCCGCGGCGGCCATTGGAGGATGAACCAACGGCAAAGGAAGACCTTTCTCTCTGTCTCTCTCACTGTCCACTCTACCTGTCAAAAAAAAAAAAAAAGAAAATGGGTAGTCCTGTTCTCTAATTACGTGTTCTAATCTCCATTCCCTGTCTTTCTCTGCCCCCTGGTGGATACAGTGCCAAATAGCAAGTTCCACAGAAGCTCACTAGAAAAAAGCCAAGAGGCAGGCTAGGGAGGCGCTCTCTCATCCAGGGACCCCCATAGTCTTTACCTCTAATCTTCATGGTATTCTGTAGGACAAATAAGTGTATTTTCAGCTAAATAGCAAACAAGCGATTCCAAAATATGGAACTAATATACAAAGGGTCTTTATGTCTACCACCATACTGCCCTGAAACGTGGCTACCTTGTTTAAAAACCTCATGAAAAATATGTTTTATGAAACAAAATGAATTTCAATTTTCTTGCACCAAAATAACTTCATCCTTTAATTCAGTTTTCTTCTCACTTTTTGGAGCCGACTCGTATGCATCATTGCACTCCCCAGGGAACCGTCTGTGCCCACTCACTCACTTTTTCCCAAGCACCCAAGAGTCATGGAGCACTCTCCTTCTGTGGTTTGTAGCATAAAAGCAGTAGGTGCCCCCTTAATCATGAGAATGATGACGTAACTGAAGGACTCGTCCCCAGGTGTCCTCCCGGGTTCTGAAGTCACCTGTTCCCCAGGATCTCTGGGGTTCCCCAGGGCCTTACAGGCATCGCTCCAAGGATCTGCTGGGCTTCTGACCCACTGCCTCCACTCCTGTGTTTCCAGCCACTTCCAGCACCCCTGCCTCACCTGACCCTGAAGTCCAGCCTGCCTTCTTTGCTACCCCCAACCTCAAGACACGCTGACACCAGGAGGCTGGTGAGCTTGTGGTGGAGTGAGAACAGCGCATCACAGGCACCGTCTGGCGATGGAAAGATTGGCCATGGCTTCCGTAGCCTGTGACTTGGCATTCCCCCTGGGGAGTTCCCCATGGGCTGGATCCTGCCCTGGCTGTGGCTTCCCCTGTCTGCTCTTCTCCGTGGCCAGCCTCCTGCCCCCACTTTTCTGTTGTCCTAGGATGAGCTTTGCAGATCCCCTCCTCCCAGGGCACTCTCATGACCTGGGCATCACTGTGTTGACCTGGCAGCACTCTGCGTGACTTGGGCAGCACTGTGTGTGACCTTGGCAGCACTGTGTGTGACCTGGGTACCACTGTGTGTGACTTGGGCAGCACTGTGTGACCTTGCAGTGGAGGGAAACCCTGCTTCATGGGAGGCCTCCCACAGGTTGTGAGTGCTGGCTGAGTTTTGCAGGCTACCTAGACATGACCCAGAAAAGGAAAGGAAGTGCTGTGTTTAACTTCTGAGAGGTAGAAATGAGCCTCATGCGTTTAGGGAACAGGATAAGCAAAGCACAGAGCTTTCAGTGAGACAGGATCTCCAAGGAGAGACAGGAAGTCAGTCATGGAGAGCCTATGTCTCCCGTAATTAAGTCTCTGGCTTACACCTTAGGCCACGGCCATTCCCTTCCATTAAATGCCGATGCCGTTTTTAACACAGCCATGCATAAGGGAGCCTAAGGCAGCTGACTTTCCTCTCACACCTGTATTAGCTGGACACTGTTGTCTGCTCTAGAGTTGTTTCAAAATAATAAAGTCCATGGACACAGTTTGTGTGCCTGAGTCTGGTGTTTCGATGGGTGCTGACTGGCAAACTGGGGCACAGATACAGGGACACGGCTCTCAGCTAGAGCTGGCTGCGTTTTTAGGAAAAAAGTATAAAGTCCAACGCCTAGGTACAGAGATAGCAAGAGAGAGAAGTTCAACACAGCGTGTTACAGTATCTAGTAACTCTTTATTTCCACCCAAGACTGTCTGTCCCGCTGGGACTCACTGCCACCCGTGTCTGATGCTGCGCCTGCCTTTCCCCTCGGAGACGGAGGCGTGGACCACGTTCTGCTTACGTCACCAAAGTCTTCCTCGCTACCCGCCAAGCACCGTGCCTCTGACTCTATCAGACCGTATCGATGTTTCAGGACTGGAAAACCACAATATCTGTGACTGTGAAAAATGCATGACTTTAGGTCTGTAACAGGCTTTAAAGCAGAACATACATTCTCTTTCTGCTTCTCCCAATGTTTTTCTGATTAAGATTTTATAATTTTACTCCCATTCATGTTTTCACAGAAACCTGCACTCTGTGCCTAAGTGTCTCTCTTTTAGAATTTACTTATTTTTAAAATGTTTATTTATTTATTTGAAAGGCAGAGTTGGGGGGGGAGAAAGAGAGAGAAAGAGACAGAGAGACATAGAGAAAGAAAGAGAGAGATTTTCCATTTGTGGGTTTATTCCCCAGATGGCTGCAATGGGCAGAGCTGGGCTGTCCTGAAGCCAAGAATCGGGAGCTTTTTCTGGGTCTCCCATGAGGGTGCAGGGGCCCAAGTACTTGGTCCATCTTCAGGCTCATTAGCAGGGAATTGGATTGGAAGTAGGACAGCTGGGACTTGAACCAGAATCCATATAGGATGCCGGGGCTGCAGACGGCAAATTTACCTGCTACACCACAGTGCTGGCCTCCGTGATTCCATTTTCTTTACTGATTAAAAATCACTTGAGGGGGTAAGCATCTGGTGTGGTGGTTAAGAAGCCACTTAGGATACCCTGAACCCACATCTGGGTGTTGGGATTCACATTGTAGCTCTGCTCCTGATTCTAGCTTCCTGGAATGCGCAGCTTGGGAGGCAGCAGGTAATGGCTCAAGTGACTGTGTCCCAGAACCCACATGGGAGATTTGGATGGAGTTCTGAGCTCCTGAGCCTGGGCCTGCCCTGGCTATTGCAGATACTTGGAGAGTGATCCACCCAAGCTTAACTCCACCATGCACAGACTTTTGGGGAACCCCCGTGTCCCCATGCACTCACACAGTCCTAGTGGAGAAGTGGGTAAATAGTTCCTGGCATGCAGGTGTGTGCTGCGGGGACACATGATGGCACATGAGCATGCGGGGCTGTGTCCCAAGGGCTGGGAACAGAACCCACATAGCCCAAGGTTAGAGGCAGCCCCAGGTGTCTGAGGGGTGGGGCAGCCAGCCCACAGGCCAGGGGGTCCAGGGAGCAGTCTGCAGAGGCGGCTTTAGGTCAGTTCCAGAGGCACATTTTATGTCAGCTCACAGAGTGCACACACAACAGCTAACTTACATTACCCAGAATGCTCTCAATCAGCCAGTGTAAGGAACAGTAAGACAACAGAATGAGAACAAAAGAAAGACAAGTTACTTACTTGTGGACTGCAAAAGATCCGCAGACACTGACGGATCTCATGGGATCTGAGGGTGCCATGATAAACCTGCATTAGAACTGGGATCCGGATCTCCAGGACAGGATCAGCCCGTTCATTCATTTATTCTGTCTGCCCTGCCCCCAGCCCCTTCTCTCACCTCTCTGTCCCTTGGACTTCATCTTGGACACAGGCTTTCTTCCCAGGAGAGAGGGCTCCCACCATCCTAGCATTCACAGCCCCCACTGGAAGCCCTCTGGATGGAGAACTCTCTTCCTGGTACCTCTGTCTCCTAACCGGCAGAGCCCTGGCATGGACGCTACCTGCATTATGAGCTCATCCAGCTCAGGCACTGTGACCAGGGGTGGCCACCCAGGGGGCTGTGCCTGTGTCCCCTGCCTTTCCTGGCCACGGGTGAGGGTGATGTTTCGGGTGTCGTTGCCCCACTAAAGAGACATTGTGTAGACACTTTCTCTGTTGATGAGTAACCTGGCTGTCACTGGTTCTGCATGTCCACCCCATTAGCACATGGTCCCCAGCAGACTTTACCTGAGTACAAGGGCTCTCATCAGCTTGATAAAACACATCAAAACATGTGCAGATTATTTATCACCACACCCAGTGAACCAAGTTTGACAAAAGTCTGTGACAGCTCCCTGAGGACAAGCAAAACTCCTTTACTTCACTGATATCAGATTTGGAGGGAGAAAGAAACCTTGGTTCTTGGGGACTGGTGTATGGCACAGCGGGCTAAGACACTGCTTATGATGCCAGCATCCCATAGTTGAAGTGCCTGTTCAAGCCCTGGCTCCAAGCCAGCTCCCTACTAACACACCTGAGAAATAGCGGCATATGGTCCAAGTACCTGGGCACCTGCCACCCCCGTGGTAGACCTGGGTGGAGTTCTAGGCTTTTTAAAAAGATTTATTTTTTTATTTTTTTATTTTATTTTTTGACAGGCAGAGTGGACAGAGAGAGAGACAGAGAGAAAGGTCTTCCTTTGCCATTGGTTCACCCTACAATGGCCGCTGTGGCCAGCGCGCTGCGGCTGGCACCCTGCGCTGATCCAATGGCAGGAGCCAGGTACTTATCCTGGTCTCCCAGGGTGCAGGGCCCAAGGACTTGGGCCATCCTCCACTGCACTCCCTGGCCACAGCAGAGAGCTGGCCTGGAAGTGGGGCAACAGGGACAGAATCCGGTGCCCATAGCAGGACTAGAACCTGATGTGCCAGCGCCGCTAGGCGGAGGATTAGCCTAGTGAGCCACGGCGCCGACCAAAAACATTTATTTTTTTGAAAGGCAGAGTTACAGAGAGAGAGGGAGGAATACAGACAAACAGACACCACATGCACACACACACACACACACACACACACACACACAAGGTAGAAGGGGAGAGGGAGAGAGAGGGAGAGAGAGACAGACAGACATACAAAGAGAGAGGTCTTACATCTGCTGGTTCACTTCTCAAATAGCCACAATGGCAAGGGAAGTGCCAGGTGGAAGCAGGAACCAGGAGCTTTCTGGGTCTACACTGTGGGAGAAGCAGCCTAAGCATCTGGGTCATCTTTCGCAGCTTTCCCAGGCACATTAGCAGGGAGCTGGATTGGAAGTGGAGCAGCCAAGACTGAAGCCAGCACCCATATGGGATGCCAGTACTGCACCGCTGGCTGAACCCATTACACCACAGTGCCAGCCCCGTAGGCTCCTGGCTTTAAACTGACCCTCCCTAGCTGTTGCAGCCATGTACGAAGTGAACCAGAGGATGGAAGATCAATCCCTCTCTGTCCACGGATCTCTCAAATAAATAAATCTTAAAAGAAACTGTTATGCCCAGATCGCTGAATCCCCAAAAATCACCAGAGACTTGATCTCACCGAAATGCAAAAGCAAGGTTTATTCTGGAAGTACAAGCTGCGGCAGGGACCTCATCTAACCAACCGATGCAGCGGAGGTCAGAGGAAGGCCCTGAGCTTTGTTCGGGAGCGTTTTTAAAGGAAAAAGCTGCAGGGTTACATCAGCAAGGGTTTGGGGTACAGGGCTACAGTGGATTGAACGGTGCCATTCCTGGGAGCTCTTGGTTGGACGAGGCTGATCCTGATTGGCTTGGGCCCAGGGCATTTCCTTATTTGGTAACTGTTGAATGTTTGCTTTTACAGGAACTTGGGCCTGCTCCAGAAAATGGAGGCTGCTTTTTAAAATGGAGGCGCCTTGGCTCTTCAGAACTGAGGCGCCAGTGCTGTGGCATAGCAGGTAAAGCTGCCACCTGTGACACTGGCAACCCATATCAGGAGGCTGGTTTGAGTCCCGGCTGCTCTGATTCTGATCCAGCTCCCCGCTAACATGCCTGGGAAGGCAGAGGAAGATGGCCAACTACCTGGGGCATTGCCAACTGAGGGGAGACCTGGATGGAGTTTGGGTGCCTGTCTTCAGACTGGCCTAGTCTAAGCCATGGTAGCCATTTGCGGGGGGGGGGGGGACAGGTGAACCAGTGAATGAAAGTTCTCTCTCTCCCCCTCTTTCCTCTCTCTCTCTCTCTCTGTCTCCACCCGTGTGTGTTTATTGTCTCCCTGTATCTGTAACTCCACCTTTCAAATAAATAGTTTTAAATAGTTTAAATAGTTTAAAAACAGTCTAATAAGACATTTTCTTAGCAGTTTCCTTTGGGATTTACACCGCATTGAATTCTTGGGGCAGTGCCCACAGAGATTCCGCCTCCTCATTTTAGTCCAGCGTGGACAAGATAGGACTTTCCGCAGCATGTTCAGGCTACTGCTGAGCAGAGCTGGGGGACACAGAGTCCTCAGGGCCATCACTTACCTTGGGGGAGATGAATTTTCTAAAACCAGGTGGGTCTGCAAGGCTCCCACCAGCACTGGGGAGGAGTGATGAGAAGGAGAGCTGTGGTGTGTCTCTCGTCCTTGCCGACGCTGTTTTGCAGTCCGGATGGGAACTCTGTTTTTCCTCGAACTGGGTTACTTGAAGGGACTTGGAAAACCTCATGGAAAATGGAAATAAAGGATGAGCTTATTTGTTGCAGTTTTTGAAATTCACTGCATAGGAGAGGGGATACAAAACATTCACGGGCAAAGTATGTTAAGGACAAACTAGGCACAGGTTTTCAAAAGTTTTTGCACCTAAATAAATTTTGAATTCTATATCTGGTGATGTTTTGGTAGTATCCTGAGTTTCATCTTTATTTGATCTGCCTTCAAAAACTCCAACCTTATTACAAAGATGAGTTTTTACCTGTGCTTAATGGGAAACAGTCCCCAACGTCTTCATAATTTAATTTTTTTGACTTTTGTAGCAAAACTGTAGTGAGAATTCCTGGGGTGCTGGTTCTTTCCTCTCAGCCCTGACGACGTGACCAGCACTGCAGGAAATCATGGAGAAATTGCATTGTGCAGTGTCCCTGAACATCCTGGAGGAGGGGGTCATCTCCCCAGGGAGGGGTTCCTCTCCCAAGAGGGCATGGGCAGTCAGTGCAGAGGGACCATCATGTGTTCCTGGGGCCCATGGCTGTGTTGGGCCCTGGGGGCTCCTCAAGAACTGCAGGAGACACAGATCCACTTGCTATGTGGGGGCAGGGGTTACCGGGCTCACTTCCTACCTGAGATGAGTTTGTCGCTTCCTTGGGAGAAACACTGGTCCTGAGGGCTCAGCACGAAGCTGTCCCAAGGAGACAGATCTGAGGCTGTGATGCGGCCATCGTCTCGTCCTAGTTCTGGGCTGTGCAGGTCCTGAGGAGTTGAAGCAGGGAGTTTCTCCTTTTTTTCTAAGTTGCATTCTATGTGTGTGAGAGTGAAGAGGGGAAAGAGAGAGTGCTAGTGAGAGAAAGAGAGAGAGAGAGGAGCTAGGGAGAGGGAGCTAGGGAGCTCTTCCATCCTCTGATACAGCCCATAAATGACCTCCAGGCCTTGGCCAGGCTGAAGCCAGAAGCCAGGAGTTTTGGTTGTTGTTACAGGAGCCCAAAACCCCCAAGTGCCTGGCAGTGCCTCGATTCCTCCCTACCGGGTGGAGGACAGTCTCAGAGGGTGTAGCTTTCTCGGCTGCCTCTGACTGGGCCTTCCATGTTTGGACTGCACGGACCCCACTACCTTCTGGGCTTCCAGGGTTTCTGCCAAGAAATCTGACGATGACTTAGGGGGAAAGGGTGACAGAGCCACCTTCCTCTCAGCTCTGGAGGTGCGAACAGTGTACCTGGCGGTGTCTTGGGCAGCAGAGCACTTGTTGAGTTTACCAAAGCCAGAGATGTTGTTCCATCATTCTGAGACCCATCACTCAGAGAGTAAAGACAAAGGAGGGGCTATACTAAGTGGAGACACTAGGAGGTCTTCAAAAGACACAACGTATCATCATATTTAAACTAGTAATGTGAAGGCCACCCAAGCAATCTATAGGTTGGAGTTTCTCAAAAATTAAGTATCAAGCCCTATCACCAACCTAGGCCAAAATCTCTTTGGGTATCGTTGTAATTTAATTGGAAGATTCTCGAGAAAACAACTGTGGATGAACCACAGCTCCCATTGGTCAATTTCTTGCTCTGACTTCATAAGGCACCACTGTTATGAAAGTCGTATTATTACACAGTCCCTGGCTGGGCTGTGATTGGTCCATTTCTTGCTCTGCTCTCACAAGGCGCCATTATGTGAGGTGAACCCCCAAAAAGTATATATAGCCGCTGCGGGGGCCTAGATTTTTGTCCGCCTTACCCAGAGAGCACTCTTTTGTGATCTGTGTAACTAGGACCCATCTAACCAGCCTTTGCGCTCGTTGGTGTTGCTTGTGCTTTTTCTTGGTTGTTTGTTTCTGGGTCTATTTGGTTTTTGCTTTTTTCCATTTTGTTTAGTTTGTTGTTTTCCTCCTCGTTGTTGTTTTGCCCATTTGGTCTTTTTTTGCAGTTTTCTTTATTTTTGCTTCCCCCACTCTAGTCAGCTAGCACGCTCAGAAGTATCAGCGTTTGAGGATTTAGTGGCTTTTCCTCTTTGTTGTTTTGTGCTTTATCGAGATAGGCTTGCGGCATCGCCGCTAGAGTAGTGAGAGTAGCTGGTGCTGTGTCTTAGTCAGCTGGGTAGTCAGTCCCCCGTGGTCCCTTTGTGTTGTAGGCAGTGCAGTGAGGATCGGTGATTAGCTAGTGTGTGTCGAGTGATTTAGGGAGTCGAGAGAGCGTAGTTAGGTGACCGGCATCATGGAAGACCCCTTGGACTTCCATCCTGCTCTGGACGGGTTCCGCTTCGTGGACGTGATCGGCCGGGGCGGCTTTGGCCTGGTGAAGCTGGCCCGGCACCTGGCGTCGGGCAAGTACGTGGCGGTGAAGATCCTTCTGCGAGACTGCTCGCCCAGCAGCCCGCTGTCCGCGCAGGGGGAGGCAGCCATCCTGAGGAGCCTGCGGCACGACAACATCGTGCGGCTGCTGGAGGAGCGGCACACGAGGACGCACCTGTTCCTGGTCATGGAGCTGGCGACCAAGGGCTCGCTCCAGAGCTACGTGTTTGAGCAGGGCGGCCTGGCTGAGGCCGAGGCCAGGACCCTGTTCGGCCAGGCGCTGGCCGCCGTGAGCTACTGCCATGCCCAGCGCGTGGTGCACCGGGACCTCAAGCTGGGCAACCTGCTGCTGGACGAGCACATGACCATCAAGCTGGCGGACTTCGGCCTGAGCCTGCGGCTGGAGCAGGGCACGCTGGTAAGGGGCTTCTGGGGGACCCCCGAGTACTGCGCACCGGAGGTTTTCCTCGGGGAGGCCTATGACGCTTTTAAGGCTGATGTGTGGAGCCTGGGGGTGGTGCTGTTTGCCATGCTGGCGGCCACGCTGCCCTTCCGCGGCAAGGACACGGAGGAGCTGCAGGACACGGTGCTGTGTGCCTGCTACGTGCTGCCGCGTGCCGTCAGCCCGGCCCTGCGGGAGCTACTGGCTTGGCTGCTCACTGTCGACGCCTCGGGGAGGCCCAGTGCGGAGGACGCCAGGACCCACTGGTGGTTGGATCCCGGCCAAGAAGCT